AGCTCAAAAGAAAAAATACCCCTGCAGATTACTGTAAAGCACAGTTATATATATTTATAAAAACAGTGGGATAGCACATAACTGCTTTCATTACTGTATGTATCATGAGGGTCATTTGTTAGATTAAAAGTATATTTTAGACATACTTTTCATTTAGCCCACATTTCTGTTTTAAATTTTTTTTTATTAGAAATCTTTCAAAGTTGAAAATCATCATAATTAAGCAAATAAAGACTTGAAAACATTAGTCTGTGTGGAATTAATCTGCATAATGTGAAACACTGAGTGAATAGAGTTACTGAAATAAATTACCTTATACTGATATTCTAATTTATTCATTGTGACTTTACGTTCCTCTAACTATAAATGTCATTATCAGATTTGCCAATATAGCCCATTTAAAAACAATACAAGATGACAGAAGTTCCTCACCATTTTACCAACAACCATAAAGTAAAAAAAACTGTAATAAAAATAAATAAAAGTCGGAGGAGGTAAGACCTCTAAGGACTATTTAGCGTGTCCTTCTCAATCACTCAAAGTTCATTGGCTGGTAAGGGAACTTAATTCGGTACAGGACATTCCTCAAGCCTTCCTAGGGTTTTATTCTTTTTCTATCTAGTGATAAACCTGTGGTTAATCCTGTCCTCTTTCCAGCTTAGGCCAGGAAATATTTATTTCCATCATCACAGTTTCTTTCTTTAAGCACCATTTTATCTAACCACGTATCTTTCTAGGATAGAGGACATGGAACAGCAACTACCAACTTTTAACGTCGTTTTATACAGAACAAAATGGCATCATTTGGGAAGTTGTGCACAAAATGTACCCTCTACTAAACTATTTGTAGTTGTTTAGATCTCGGGCTTTCTTTTAGGAACTGATATGGGTTAAGGTGGTTCACAGAGCCATCCATGCCTCAAACATGAGTTTGGTTGTCCGTCCTTCAGGAACACAGTGACATCTCCAGTATGGCTGTGATTGGGACCAGCTGGAAGAAGCCTGGCAAATTTCTATGTTTATGTTTAAGAGACCATTCAACAGGCCATTTTATGTTATTCTTGTATTTTTTTACTATCACCAACGCATTCAGAGAGAGCTGGAAATACATTATCATTACAATGATCATGTATAGAACTCTTTCTTCGTTGTTAGTAATTTTTTTTTGCTATTCAAACATTCAAAGAACTTCTATACAGCAGCAAAATTCACAGACGTACTACCAACCTGAGGTTGGTGCCTTGCTCAGGGGCAGTCAGTCTCTCCAGTTATCTCATCTAGAACTTAGTTAACTTGAGAAATGAGCACTTAAATTGTCTCGTTAAACCATAACGATGAGAAGTGATGATCCCTCGTGAGCACGGAGAAACTTGAACATGATGTTCGATGATGAAGCGATTGTGGTTGAGTGATAGCAAAGTGATTAAAAACAAATGACTAAAGCCAGGTGTTGACGTTAAATCTTGGTTAATCACAAAGGTCTAAGAAAAGTGAAAACCCTGAGTCAGGTGGACTCTAGCAAGTAATAAAATTCTCATTTACTGCCATAAATAAGCACAAATATTTCCAAATTAGAACTTCAAACACTTTGATTTTCACACTTTGATTTGTATTGCAAGATGTTACAAAAAGAATCATGAAATCCAGGAGGGACTGAAAAGATAATTAATTTTAACAGTTTGTGAACAGGTTTCATCAATACATTCTGGCACAACTGGCCCTTTAAAAGCCTTCATGATCTTGATTTGGCCAAAATGAAAATGAGTTTGACACCCCTGATCTAGGCAATTATTTTCAGCATGATGAGCAGCACCACCCTAAGTGTTGAAGCATCTGACCTGGCAGCCATGCAGGATTTGAGTAGAACATACTGATCTGGTAACTGTCCAATCAGTAGCTGATTGACGATTGCTCACTTAAATTTAGGTGGTGACTTTTTGATCAGGCAAATATTACCTTATTGTTATACATAATGGGGATTTTGACAACGCTGTGTTTAAATTTCAACTATAAGAATTTGTTGTATTGGGACTAGATGTACAGATTTATTTATTTTCCTTTTAACAAAAACCACTCTAACCATATTCCATAAAGAACAATCATCAATGATAGAAAACGTATGAAATGAATCATTATTCTCTATCCACTTCACACTCAGAAGGGAATATCACAACTCTTCATCGTGGTTAGCGAGACCATACAAATTAGTATCACATTTCTCAAGTCAAAAACTATAGAAATGATCCCAGAAAGTACAGTCTTGATAAATAATTGAAACAACACAGGATATCATTTCCTGGTCACCCAGTCTCAATAATGGTGTCCTGATGTCCCGCAGCATACGGGATAATTTGGCACGTCCGGAAAAGTCGCATGAAACAATCAAACTTGTAACGTTATGAAAGAGCTAAGTGATGAAAAACCACCGCTGAAAAATTACACAACAGTTTTTAGTTGTCTTAGCACATAAATGTCTATTCGTATGTCTAATAAGTCACATATTAAATTCAAGCATTATTTTTAAGTATTATAAAGCACCTTTTATTAGGATTTTCCTCTGTAATTTATGCTTAATGGCAAACAGCAGAGTTTAAAATATTAGCTCTACAATACATGTCATTAATTTGATGAGAAAATTAATTTTTTTTGTCTGAATTGATGTGAAATACTTTTTATTTGGTTAAATCCAATGTCACTGTTAGCAATATGTTATATTTCCTTCACGCTGTAAAACAAAACATTCATTATTCTCTTCCACATCACTCTGTTACATGCAAAATTTTCAAAAAGAAAAATTATTTAAAAATCATGTACCTCACTGTTTAAAAGTGAAACTCTTGAACAGTACTTTCAATACAAATTAGCAACGTGGTTCACGAGAAATCTTTTTCGTAATGGCTCTTTACCATGAACGACAAGACTCAAATTTACGTTGTGTACGACTTTTCTTTCTTATATATTTTATTTACATAGATATTTTATATACATATATATTCTACATATTTATATACTCGATATACAGCGTTTTTTCTGCAAGAACATACTGCTGATTTTTTACTTAATATAAATGGAGTCTACATTTTATTGTAAACTTCATCCATAAAAACGTGATTATCTTAGTATGAAACAAGTTTGTATTTAGAAAATTAGTTTTTAAAAACAGTTCTTTTAGCTAAAAATCAGAACAGAAGACTTAACTTGGTCACAGCAGCTACAGGTAAAAATGTTGATTTTAACACTATCAACCTTAATTTTTATGTAGTATTTCTTTAACAGTAAGAATAACCACTCTGACCATATTCCCTTCCTCATTACTCCACAAGGAAGTAAAGAACGATCATCAATGATAGAAAACGTATGAAATGAATCATTATTCTCTATCCGCTTCACGCTCAGAAGGGAATATCACGACTCTTCATCGTGGTTAGCGAGACCATACAAGTTAGAATCACATTTCTCAAGTCAAAAACTATAGAAATGATCCCTGAAAGTATAGTCTTAACGAACAACAGGAACGATAGAGTATATGAGTTCCGGTACTCTCGCTCTCAGTAATGGTGCAATGACATTATGACAAACAACACGGTGAGTAAATAGTAATGAGTTTACTCTGATGAAACAGCAGAGCGCCGACATTTAAAATGTTTCCAAACAAGGTTTTTTAACTTATATTCTGATTCCTAAATACCCACAATGCCTTGAGGGTGCTCTGACGTTTCATTCAGAGTGACCCTCGTGTACATGAGCCGGTTTATTTCCTAAATAGCACTTTAACACATTGACGAATCACTGCATTGACATAGAGTCAAGGGGTGCTCAATACGACAAATAAACAATTGTATTATTGAGTGTTAACATAGTTCCATAAGTTGAATAAACACGATGCGGTTACGACCTTTAATATTCCGGATACAACACTGTACAACAAAAAGCGTTCCGCTCACTAGAATAATCAAATATCTAAGGACACTTGCCTATACTGCATAGTTTACTGACTCCTACTAATAAGAGATAAACAACAAAAGAAAATAATCAAATTCCAATTAAAAAACTTTGTTCAATATTAAATCTGTCATAAGTCTTGTACATTTACCCGCAGGGATCTATTATTGCACGCGGGGGCAGCATTTCACACTTTACAGCCAAGCTCTACACGTTTTACTGCTAGTGCTCAGTAGAGAATGATTATGTTACAAATATAACCAGTTTAATTAAACAATTTGTGATTTGCGAACATTTAACTTTTTTGTGAGGACACAAAAACTGACCCTATCACGTAAACACGACATGATAAACCATATAAAGCAGTGGCATTTATGTATTTTAATTTTATATCCAGTTAAAACTTGCTAGCACTAGATAAGCTAAAATTATTGCTAGCTTAATTAACATCATTATCATTTCCAAAATACTGCATGAATTCCTCTGCTTTAGGTCTTTCATGTTACTTAGAGCCGGAAACTTACCAAAGTGGTCTTCCTCTGCAGCTTTATTTTTCTTTTTGGAACATGTAAAGTTATTTATTTAAAAAAAAAAAAAAAAAACTTCGGCCGTAACAGAGCACCCAATGAAGTCTCTTTCTCTGCGCGTGCCCAGTAAACACCCCGTTTTCTTAAAAAACTTTATTCATGCGTGAAAATTAATTCACTAAATTACATGAATCCGACAAATACAAGGCTATTGCAGTGTGAGAATTATCATCATTCTCTTAATTCAATTTTTATAGCTTTACAAGAAATATATAAAACAAGAAGAAAAAAAACATAAGTTTGCCTTTTTCTTCTGTTTTTATAGGATATTTTTCAGATGCAATGGGGAATGTTCAGAAGGCATCTGTCAAAACTCAAATATTGTCAAATCCAGACCAAATATACAACAAATTCAGTTGTAACAAATTGATAATGAAGAACTTTCCAGCATACTAGTCCAACTAAAACTTCATAAGATAGTGAAAAGATTGAATAATTATTAGACATGATTGTTTTAATGAAAACAATTAAAACATTTGAAATACAGCTATTTAATTCTTCATTGTTAGTCATGTGCATGTTTGAAGTCTTAATTTCAAACGTTAAATTCAACATGCTTATGACATTTTACATACATTATATATTGTATTTATTAATTCTTGTGCTCTTCAAGTTAATAACCAGTTGTACAGGAATTAACCAAAATTGGTCAAAAATTATTAAAAAATAAACTGTGATATTGATTTAGCATATAAACAAGTTGCAATTTTATTACAGTTAAGCATTGAAATTAGAAACAATAATTTTAATGTAAAAACAGTGAAAATATGCATATCATATTTGTTGTTACATTCTGTGTGACAGAATTGGCATAAGTACAAAAAAACCAAAAAAACAATAGAATCTTCATTGTTCATTTTCCAGTCAATGCAGTCATGCTTGTGATTATTGGAAGCTGGATTAGAGATCTGTATTTGACACGAGAAAGCTGCTCAATCAGGTTCCTTATAAATCAAAAGTCTGAGTTCATTTAGAGTTATTACTTCCTTTAAGGCCTCTCCTTATACGTCCTCCATAGCTGGTGTACTTGTCTCCGGGCTTCAGAGCGAACGCAGCTGGAAAAGAAGGTGCAGCGCCGGCCCTTCACCTGGTGCACACAAAGCAATGAGAAGACGTTCAATTCAACACGTCAACATGTTTTTTTGTATATTTCTCCATTCCTCAAAGGAAATAAAGACAATCAAACAAACAATCCATATTCAATAAATATCTTGATTATCGTTTTAGTTGTTAGTGGTACTTATCTGCTTGCCAGCTCCTTCTTCAGACATGACCTAAAAGAGGAGGCTCTCTCCACCGACTTATACCCCTGAGATGCCAGTAGAGGCCATCATGAGAAATGAGGAAGGCAGGGAAAAGGAAAGAAATAACTTTTGTTAAAAAACAGGGACATGACCAAGGAAATTACATCTGAGTCAAGAAATCTTGTATTCAAATACAACAGTCAGAAATAAAGAGAATAAAATACGCAGGAAGTCCATGTTTTAAAAAAATAAAGACCCAAGAGTGGTAAGAAAGCACAAAACGCAGTTCTGACTATTAACAGCTAAGATCTGAATAACTCCTTAGCATGACTTTGGACTATTGTAGTTTTAAAAAATTGCCACTTGGTGGCAGTATAGCACCAGAGATATGAACTATTGTAGTTTTTTTTAAAAATTGCCACTTGGTGGCAGTATAGCACCAGACATAATATCATAAATGTCTTTCAGGTATCCCAGGACAGTTTTCACGTGATTAAATATCTCAGATCAGTGTAGAATGCTCCAGTAAAGACATACTTATCCCAAACTGTATCTGTAAATAAAGGTATATATTTCTAAAAGGAAGACATCTCTCATCTTTTCATAATTTTTGTTGATTACTTTTAACAAGGATATTTGTAATTTCAGTAATTAAGCGCATTTTCTCAGGAAGCTGCAAGCTCCTCACCCTGGCTCCCCGGTGAAGCCGGTCCTTCATGATGCCGATGAACTCCTTGTAGGACAGCTGGTCATCGTGGTCAACATCAAAGATCTTAAAGATGGTGTTCACCAGGTGACGTGTCAGCTTGAGTCCCGTGGCTACGTACACCGCCCTTGCAAACTCATCTAGTGGGAAAATACGAAGACGTCTTGGCATTCACACAAAAACCAGGAGATAGAGCAGCAACAATTAGCGCCTGCAGCTTTAAGCCTGATCGGGTTCTCACTACCTTGTCCGATGGAACGTGAAGCGAAGTTGTACATCTGCATGGCAATGGCGAAGTCTTCAAGGTTGTTGAGGAACTGGAAGAATGACCTGAACTCATCGAAGGTGATGCCCTGAAAAAGAGAAACTAGGTGAGAATCTGCCAGATAAAGTGGGGAAGTAATGAAGACCTATCATTGTCCTGAGCAAAGTACTTCAAATTGGGGAAATAATGAGCAGTTTCGATTGATGTACACCATGCTAAATGGGTCGTGTGGGAACGTAGCATTCCTTATCATGCATCCACTTGAAATGAAATCAAAAACATATATTGCTGCATTTTTATATTATTCCATAAATGAGGAAAAACTGAGATACACTATGAATGTTAGAGATAAAGTCGCATTCAAAATAATAGTAACTCAACATCACCACTCAGACTCAACAGTCGAGACATGCATGGTACTGACTGGATGTAACTGAAACTTTAATTAATATGTTTAAAATAATAGCAGTGTGGCTTTATATTAGTACCAAACACGTGCCTTACTGGTGACAGCAAAAGTCGTAAATGCTGATTATAATGCATTTTTCTCTAGACACTAAGATGTGTCACTCCAGATGTGTTTGAGAAGAACAATCATTTTATTAAAAGGTTGAGTGGAAAGGGGGAAAGAAAGCTGCTCAGCTTAACTGATCTCAAAATGCTTAAAAATGGAAACAGAGAAACTACAATTTAAATTGATAGAAGAATATTCAGATGGCAAAGATGGTTGGGCCAAAACCGTGCAGTTGACGCGCAATCACTCAATTTCAGGGCGTTTATTTTTGCACACTCCCTTCACGTTTGTGATACATGTGGTTTACAATAGCTTAGCAAACACAGCAATTATGGCAGAGAGGCTTGATTATTACCAGTTCCCCAGTTCGGAGGAGGAGGAAACAATGATTGACGAACTGCAAGAGCTCATTTTATTTGCCATGTTATCGTAAAAGAAGAGAAGGTGTAGTTGAGGCAATTGCCCACCGCACCAACTGCGACAATGAGAGCCGATTTTGACCGTGGAGCCAATGAACATCTCCCATGGTGTCCGAAGAAAAAATACAATTTCCTGTGAGTACTGCGCAAATGAGAAGATTCATATGCAAAGTCAAACTGTCAGAAAGTACCATTGTTGAAAAAACAGCAGCGGTTACAACTTGCCAAAAGAACACACCGACTGACTGAGGAATAACAGAGTAGCATTTTGAATCCTGAACTCAAACCAGAGTACTGTCTGACACATCGTGGCTCAGGTATCATATGGTGTCTAATTATCGGATAACGGGGATCTTCGACCTGTCTGAACACCGTTTTACTTGAGAAGACCATGCTGCTAAATCTGGAGGAGGAAATGCTGTTGAAGTGGGTCTCAAGAAGAAAACAAGGTTAATAATCAATTTTCTTCACTTCTTGGTCGAGCAGTAACAAAACCGATATGTTCTTCTTCATTTCATGTTTTGATTTTTGGAAAAGAACTTGCTGTGTTCCCAAGGTGTAATCATGTTTGGAAATAAAAGCTGGTGATAACAGTTTTAAAATTTACACACTGCTCTTATTTTGAACACACAAAAAAGGACATTTGTTTTCAAACAAGGACAAGGAATTTCATCAAATAAATGTCTCAAACTCGTAAAAAAAAAAGAAAGTTCATAAAACCTGCATAACATGCCTTGTGCTGCTAATTAAATGCAAAATCGTGACAGAAATATTCATTTAACCTAATAAAATAAATTTGACATCACAAACCTAAACACAACCAAATGGCAATCAAATGAAGACAAACACAAGACAACAATAAAATAACTAAAATGTAGAAAGGAAACAAGTGACAGATTGTGGCTGCAGGTTGCGTTTTTTTATGAGGCAGAAACAAACCTCCTGCTTCTTCCACAGCATGAAACAGAGGAGGGACAGAAATAGAGTTGGGTTGCAGATCGACACAAGGAAGATGAGCCAAAGCATAGCTAGCCTTCGCTTGACAGACAGATACACAGAGACAAACAATCACGTGTGACTGAAAGCGCTATTAAAAGTGTGTTTGTGTGCATCTTTGTGTGAGGTCAAGTGAAGGGAAGAAGTGCTGAAGTGCTGAGAGCATCAACAGCCCTAGGCGGACACCACACTGGGAAAATACAGGCTGAGTGAACTGCCTGAAAGGCATCAGCACCAGTACAGAAGGAAAAAAGAAACAAATCTAATGATATGCGGAAAAGAATAACGCAGAGTGCTCTCAAAGTATTGCACCTTTTCGTCCGGAATACACTGGCGCACGTTCTCCATGTACGCGCTGATGTTCTCGACGTTGGTAAAGCGCAGCAGGATTTTGGCGAAGTCTTCCTCGCTAATTGTGGTCATTCCTTTGGAATAGGTCAGAAACTCAATTTCCAACACCTCAGTCTGGAGGTTATCCATAAACCTGCCAAGCAGAAAGGAATAGATGGTGAGGAAGAGGGAGGTGGGAGTGGAGAAAAGAGACATTTACCATGTGGTCAGCATGACCAGGTACCTGTAGAAATCATCAAAGTTGAGCTCTGCTTTTCCCTTCTTTCCAAAGAAATGGACCAGTATGGTGGTGTCAATGGTGATGGTCTCATCCGAGCGCTATCAGAGACAAAGGTAGAGAGACGGATTATAAAGGATGCTGGTTTAGAGGAGAAAAACAAGCAGAGGAAAGGGGGCGAGTCTGTCAAGGATCCAGCCTTGGTACGGGTTAGGCAGACGAGCAGGAGCCAGAATGTTGCTGCATGAATGCACGACATGCACCGGATGAACAAAAACACAGCTTCACCTCAGATATCGTCTGAAATCATTAACAGCCATCGAAGATATCAAACAAAACCAGTCTAGGCTGCAAAACATACTGCCTTGCGTTGAGTTTTTTCATATTTTGCTGTGATGCAAGCAAAAACTTCAAAATACTTCATTGAGATTTTGTGTGATAGATCGGTACACGGATGTGTGCAGTTGTTAAATTGGAAGGAAAAAGATTTTTTTTTATTCATGTATTTTACAGAAAAAAAGAAAGAAATGAAAAGTGTGGCACACATGGCTGATCACCAGTTACCCAGAATTATTAAGGAAATCACGACCGATTTATCAGTTCATCCTTACGAAGGATGATAAAGGCTCTCAATCTATGTGAGTTTAGGTCAAAGGTCATGTCAAGTTAGGTTTTGCGGTTGTGCCATTATCTTGTGTTGGTCTATCACATGAAATCCAAATGAAATGTATTGAAGCCTGTCTTAAGTAAAAGTATGAATAATTTTGCAAGAAGAAAAAAAAGCAGATAGGGTACTCCAATTCCCGATGTAAAGCCAGGAAAATGTTCCATCTGTTTTTCTTATAAGTTAAAATAATCCTTTTTATTATTATTATTAAAACAGGGTCATCATATCCAGATTTGTGCAGTCCAGGCTGGTCCGGAGGTTTGCTGCGGTAGCTTCAAATACAAACTAATACCGATGAACAAGTGCACACAGTTAGCACAAAACACAATGACAAAAAGAGTCATGCCAAAGGTTGGAAGAAGAGTGGGGATGGACTGGCCGTCAGCACATTGAACAGGTAGATCACGTTGAACACACCTCTGAACAAACAGCTCAAAAATAACCCACAAACACATCATGGAGCACACACAGAACACATGGAGGACACCACATTTCATGCATTTCTCAACGAACGTCACACAGCAACATGTGAACAGGACATCACATCCCAAACAGAAGCGCCGCACAAACCCAACGTAAGCACAGATGCATAAAACATTTCAGCAGATTTCACCTTTTTCCCTTAACTGATGGCCATCCGGTCTGTCACCTTTCAAACTCAGATGGCGTTACTACCTTGATTTTTTTGTGTTTGGTCTTCCTTCCTCCCTAGAGTGTGTGAAGTGAATGTTCCCTAAGTGATCCTGGTCATTTGAAACCCATTCAATGGGATTTTAAGGCGTAACTTCTGTGTGTTTTCTCTGTTGATTAACTCTTTAAGCTTTAGTCTCTTTTAACTAGGTGACAGGCACAATTCCTAATCCTTTTGAAAATGAAGAATGTAATGAATAGCTCTTAGTAAAAGGTGACGATGATTTTAAGCATCAGGGGAAAAAAGAGAGGCCATCTTCTATCTCGCTGCCCACCATGCCCCCACCCAGCCAACCCGCGAGTCAAACCCACAGCCATGCTGAGAAGAACGCACACGTCAGATTGAATGAAAATCTCATTTCATTCGAATTAAGAGGAGCGATTATGCCATTTCCATCATCATCATCATCATCATCATAAATATCATCACCACGATGCCATTCGTGGTTCTACCTCAAGGGTAAAATCCTAAAGTCCAACATGGGACAAGAAGGACAAGTCAAACAAGATGACAAGGTTCAATGAGACAGGAAGAAAACAATTTTTGTTGTGTTTGTTTAACTTTTACATGTTGTTGCTGTTTGTTTTTTTACCCTGGAACAAGAAAATATCAGTGACCAAGTTAAGATAAGGTCACAGTTATTCACATAGATTTATTTGCCTCTTTTGGAAGTTGAATTATGTTGAGCTCATATCATTAATTAGATTAATCAACTAATTTAGTAATCGATTAATTGTTAACTGGACCATGCTTATTTTTTTTTTAAAATGTCAGTTTGTTGAAAAAACCCCCAACATATTCAGGACCGTAACTAAGCTAAAACTGAACAAAAATATATACATTTTGAATTTAACATAAAAAAAAAAAAACATTTGTCTGTGAATGTGTTTTAGCCAAAACGCTTCAAATCAGCTTTTGTCAGCTTGTTAGAGCATCACCTGACCACAACTCTCTGTAGATTTGAAACCAGATTCTGGTTTGAGCCGAGTCTCGCTATTCGGAAACAGAAATCTTCCTGTGGTGAAGCTATTCCTTGTTGATTTGGAAGCATGCTTTCAGTCCATCCTAGGTTTCATCGGGCCGTAATACATTTTCCTACATGATTTGAGGAAACTTCAAATGTGCTTTTGCTAAATTTAGCAGGGCTTGGATGTTTTCCTTTATTAGAAAAGGTTTCCATCTTGACATTTCATAGCAAAGACCAATTTTTCTTCTTATTTGTTCATCAGTTTTGAACTGACATCCAGTTCTTGGTAATGTCATCGTTGCACCATCTTTTCTTTTCTTAACAATGGCTGTCTTCACCGTGATCCATGGTAAGTATAATAGCTTGGAAATTATTTCATGCCCTTCTACAGTCTGATACCAAATGGTTGCTGCTTAAAGGTGCCTCCTGCCTCTCCAAAGAAAATATTTCAGTTTGTTTTTCAGTTAAATTTTACGGGTTATCATTAAAGGTGGAAAACATTTGGAAATAGCTCAAACTCAGGACAAGCCGATGCACTAACCAACCTCCTGTGACATGCCGATCGCTGCTGAGAGAACTGGATGACTTTACTGAACGTCCTCTTTCACTTTTGTCTCTTTGGGAGGACCACCTTCATGTAAACACGAGCTGAGCTTCAGATGATTTCATTGTCTTGCCTTTCTTGTGTCACTTTACTGGATGTTCTTGTCACTAAGCCCTTTATTACTAACAAACAGCATAACAATACGTTTGCTCTTTTATCTTTAAACTGACACATTACCAAAGTCTTTATGACACACAAGCTGTGCAGACAACTAGACAGCATCCAGATGGTGTGTGTCTCTGCCTCTCTTCCCCGTTAACTGGAATCCCCTCTTCCTCACAGTCGTGTTGTTTTTCTCTTAAAACGACTAAGCCGTTGTCAGAAGTAAAATCCAAACAAGGAATCTAGCTTAATAAATGGATTTCTGCCCACAATGGCTGCGCTTTTTCTTTTTATTAGGCTTTTTTTTTTGCTCAAATTAAAAGACAGAAAAGTGACAGCAAATGGGGCCACCAGTTCAATAAACTATGACTATGCAGGAAAAGATTTCTAGATGGAATTAAGTGATAATTTATCACAAAAATTTTTTTACTGCACAGATTTAGAAGAGTCTTTTCTGTCTTCTTCTGATCATAACAAGCTTATCTTTCCTGGAAGAGTGTCGGGAGCAGCGTGAGCTCATCATCCTCCTGACATCGTAATGGTTACCACGCCTATAAGGCACGAGCCAACACCTGGCGAATGCATGTGTCTGTTTGTCCACCTGTGTGTGTGTTTGCGAGCTCGGCTGTCTTTGATCGGGGGTGCCGAGAGTAAAAACAGTAATTACCGATGTAAACGCTAAACGTTCTTTCTCACCCTCCCGACCTGTGAGTAACGCTCGTGAGGAAAGGCCCGTTGTCGGTCTTTATTCACATCAGTCAGCCCACACCTTCGGGCTACGGACGTATTCAACTTTTGCATTTTGTCAGGTTACGACCACAAGTTATGATGTATTTTAAAGGGATTTTACGTTATAATTGCAAAGTGAACAAAAAAAATGCAATAATATCTGGTTTTATTTTACAAATAAAAACCTGGAAATAGTGACGCCTCGTCATGCTGGGTACGTAGTGTTTGCATGTAGAGAAAAAATTTAATTTTTAGTTGACTGACGTTCTTTCCCTAATTTCTGAACATTTACATAGAGCCGCTGTATCTCCAATGGTGAAAATATATTTCCTAATTAGTTGACTGAATTTAAAGGAAGGTGAATGTGCAGTTTCCACATTTTCATTGGTAGAAAATAAAAGTTGAAAACCTTTTTTATCGCATTTAAAAATACGTTAAAATTTGACTTGTGGAAAGAGTTCACATTTTTTGGCATGACAAAACGTAAAAATAAAAAACGTTCAATACTTTTATAGGCACCGCTTCCCCTCTTCTAATGCTCACTTGCTTTTTTTATCCCATGTTGTTACTGTTTCTTTCCTGCTTTTATGTGTCGTATTTTCCCGTTTCCGCTGCTGCTCTGATAAATCTGATCTCCTTTCTCTCCATCCTACCTGTCAGTGTCTTCTTCATGTAACAAACACCAAGGCACCTTTCTTAACCTCGCTCCTTGTCTGCCTGTCACTCAGTGCCAATCCCCCCCACACACTCATCAAGGTTACAATAGGGACTAATCCATTGAGTAAACACATCTTTCTCAAAATACAACCTAGTTTCTTTCTTTTCCCTTAAATGTACTTCCCGAAATGCTTTTCTTCTCACCTCGCTTTGTACCTCGACATTTGTTCAGTCTGCTGACCTGTGTCATCTGCTTTCGGCCTCTCTCGCCTTGTTTTGTTGACTCTCTGATTAGATCTCTTTCTGTCTTTATTTACCCTCAGGTTTTCCACTTATCAGATCAGATTCCTCTGAATCTGAAGCAGCCCTTTCATTTTGCGCTTTTTGTTGTGACTCTGACCCTTTTTTTTGTTATACATTTCAAATTTGTTGGTGGAAAAAAACCCAAAAACAAATACACCATTTTTATTTTGTACACATCTAAGGTTTGTACGTTTTCCCGTTTAAGGTTTTGGTTAGATATAAAAAAAAATTGGATCTATAAAAACACAGAATTGATAGATTGTACTTATGTTTTACCATGACTCTGTACCGTGCTGTGCAAAAGTTTTAAACTGGTCTTTAACTCCTTATTTATTGTATGTAAGCTGCTGTATCCTTTAAATCATATTAACCAATTTATAAGCAGTTCAAACAGAACTGCACAAGTGGAAAACCATGTAAGTCAGACCTAAAAACCATAGACGGCTGATTAAAAAACATCTGACCATGTTAGAGTTAAGTGACTCAGCAAGCGAATAAAAGATAAATCCCTCCTTGAAAACTGTTCAGCCAGTGGGCTGACAATGAGCATTAAAAGTTGATTTTAATAATTCAGAAGCTTGACATGTCTTTGTTTTGCTGACAGCTCCTCGGCCTCCGTCTGATTCGTCTGTCCTGTCCACTTTACATCCCGACAGATGAAAGACTGCTCGGTATAAATACAAGGTCGGCCCCGAGGAGCAGCACTGTTATTACCTCAACAGTAGCTTCCGCTGCTAACCACAGCCGCCAGTCTGTCATTAGTCAGCTAACCTGTTAGCACTGTGCTAGCTCTTATTAATCATTACACATCCTTGTCTTATCCTTTTGTTCTCAAAAACCAAAGTCAAAGTTGAAACTAAAAGATTGAGGTCAAGTGTGACTATTTTCTTTTTATTTTGTCTAAATGTTTCAGCTCTACAGATACTTCCCACTAGCAAAAACTAGTTTGTTTCTGTGGTATATAAACAATTATTTTCATCTGTCTTGTGAACTAGAAAGTGAACAGGAGATGTTCATAACATTGATATGTGATGTAATTAATTAGGCATATGCATACTGTAATTATACATAAAATACCCTCCGTCTTTGGTCAAAACCTTTCAAAATAAATTAGGTTTTATCTTTACGTTTTGTAAAAGTTTGCAACACCTCATTACTATTCGTATAAATAATAAATTAAGCATTTTCATTTGTAATGCACAGTAGAGCATCTGCAGCCTAGCAGTTTTTTTTGTAGCAAAATTTGAGTGAGCTTCTTTAAGGATCTTGCTAACATGCTAACCTGCTAATATTAGGATTCACCTCAGTACTATAGCTGTTAACTGAATGGAGTTATATACTTTATTCATTTATAGGCAGCCGCTTGTGTTATTTGGATCATAATTCAGTTTAAAAAGCTGAAACGCTGTAAATATTGCTTACTATTTTTGAAAATAAACACATTTGTAATTTAAAATGACACATATTACCTATGTGAATCCAGCACATAAATAAAAATGCACATGCTATACTATCATATTAAGCCAAATGAATGTGTTCTGCAGTCTACTTGATCATAATTCTGTTATTGCTCTAAACTGATTTGACACCAAAGACACAACACGGCACAGAAACACACAAAAAGCAATATGGAGGGACCGGATGGAAACATTACGACTCATTAAAAAGGAATTGATAAGGAAACAATAGCAGGCTTTTATTCTGAAGGTGAACGTTTCGGAGGTTATTCTTGTCAAATCGGCCGCGGCAAAATTTCTCGGGGATATTAAACGGGGATGTATATTAAGACTACGGCATTAAGACATAAAATGAAGGGATGACAAATGGAGGGATGAAGGGACAACTGGGTCTGTGTACCTCCGCCAGGTCAGAAAAGAGGACTTGACTGGCGCTTCGCCTCAAAACGTCCCAGTAACTCCGCGCCACAAACTCTTGGCTGTCTTTTTTTAACACCTGTAGGAGTGGTCAAGCAGGTCCAGGATCAGTTCACTTCCAATTCAGTTAAAACAAAAAATATCTATGATGTGAATTGCCTATATGCTCAGACAGTTTTCATATATTCTTTGTAAAAACATACCAACATGATACTACACAAAATATCAAATAAAGCACTAAAAATTAATGACTAAAACATAAATAAATAAATAAATAAATAAATAAATAAATATTACTCTTATTAATACAAAACCATTGCAATTTTATTTCTACTTGTTTGACACTGAACGCTCTTCAAAAAGTGACGAATTTGTATTATTGATCACTAAAGTGAGTTTTCATGTGCTGTGAATTAATTTGCACATCCTGAATGCGGGAAAACATCAGCTTTTGATGAGTTATTAAAAACAAAATCAATTAAAAACATCCATCACAATCAGTGTTGACACCATTTTTCTTTTTTGCATATATTGGATTTAAAAATACAAACCTTTTGCGATACTGGAAAAAAAAAAACACTTTATTGCAAAGACTATCATTTTAAGAGATGATTTTTTTTTTAAATCATGAAATATTTCAGCTTAATTTACTAATGCCATTAATAAACACATGCTGATGCATAATACGTCCATGTCCATCTTTGTACAAAACATAAAAATGGATCAGAATCAATAAATACACCTATGTTTAGTGGTTACAAATCTACTTTTTATCTATTTCTCTCTAAAATGATCACTTATCAAAGGATTGCTTTTCAAAGTTGTACCTTGTAAGTTGACTGTTTTTTTAAGATAGTACATACAATAAACCCACTCCAGTAAAACTACAATACTGCAGCAGTGTTTACTTGTTATAGCAGAGTATATTTGTAGTTAAACAGAGAGAGCCGCCATGTGAAGCGCCTGGCCACCCACCTTGGGTTCTCTCTCTGGGGAGAAAACCACTGCGGCCATTTTAACATGACCCTGCGCCACTCTCAACTCCGTAGTGACAATGGAGCTATCCATCACAGCACTGACAGAACAAGTAGTGTGTGTTTGTGGAAAACAGAGAGCTGCGTATAGAATAGAGGGTGGAACAAGACTGAAGAAAACGGTTTATAAAGAGACTGAAAATTGCCAGCTTTTGTGTCTTCATGAGAAATATTAGTAAATAATAAAGCTATTTTGCACTAAATTGTCTAAATATCAGATTTAACAATTATTTTAGTCCACTATTAAAACAATATATACAGCTTTTCTGGCAAAAATCATTAAAAAAAATTACTTTAAGATGGAATCTGAAAATAGAAAAATGTGTCTTGTTAGTGTTTTGTCATTTTCTGTTTGAAATGCTCAGACAACACTAACAGCAGTCTGAGAGGCCTGCGCCAATAATGAAATCACCCATTCTCTTTGTAATAAAGAGAACCTCCCCCAAACACTAACACACACAGAACAGATCGTACCTAAACATGGGCTCAAATGGAAAAACACTGATTGTGTTTTGGAGCTTCAGACCATCAAAGTCACATCCCACTTGTAGTAAGAGTTCATTTCAGCTGACCTCTTAAACGTATTACTCTGTTGCTGCTATTCTTATGTCCATTCACCCCACTGCTTCCCCGATTAGAGGGCAAATCGGTCAGCTGGCATGACAGATGGACACACAGCCTCAATTTGCATCTTTCACCGAGGCATCAAAGAATTCAAACACAGAGGATTTTACTGGAGACATAGGATCAGGTGGACTGGAGCGATTGAAGACATCTTTAGGCCACGAGTTTACGTCTACAGAGATGTTAAAAGAGTGATTTAAAAATACCCATCACTTATAGAAATAAAGCCAATTCTTCTTTAATTGAACTGTCCGATACTAGACTATAAACCTTATAGATACTTGTTTGGCAAAGATGCAAAACAATTTCTGTGCCAAATCTTGCAATCAAATCGTTACAATCACTATAAAGGCATCTGCTGCACCCAGTGATTTGAAAAAAGTCACAGGTAATTTTGTTGCCTGTAAATGGGTGAATGAAAATGCTATTTAAAGCACTCCACACCAAAGAAATGCAGAACTGACACAGAAAAACTTAAAAACCTGATGTATTTTTTAATTAGTAGAGCACAGAATGATTTCCAAATTGGGTTTATAGAGGAAATTGGAGAGCAAGCAGTGAAGTAACAGCAAGCCCAGTCGTCATATAATCAAAGTGTTCTGGCATGAACAAATTAATTACAACGTATTTTCTTGATTTCTTCAATTTTCTTTAAAAGAAAGGTACATAAGCATCTTGTTTGATGTATGGCCTTTATTTGGACCTATTTTTATGAGAGGAAAATGTCACTTGTGAGGATTAAAGAACCAAACTGGGAGACAGTAGAAACAAGCCTTTACCCTGTCTTCTAAATTAGAGTAGAAGAATGTCTAGAAATTAAAGAGGAAATCTTGAGGAGAGAAGGAATTGTTCAGTTTTTGGATTTGAGTCAAAGCATCGTTATTTTTCTACAAACACGTGCAGATATTGATAAAGATCTAGATTTGTTTTCAGCCACAGACGTTAAGTTTTAATGTCGTTGGAATCAGAGACTAGCAGAAACCTTCTCCTTGACAGTAGACTTAGATGAAAAACATGGAATCATTCATCTACTAAACTGTGATATGACCGTCTTTACTGAGACGATGACCTGTCCAGGCAAGTTAACCAAAGCCCTAACTTACCTGTTGACCTGACAAACCAAAGAAACAAAACAAAGCAAAACGGAGAAAAATGTAAGACTTTTTAGGAAAACTTCAGTTTCTGTTTGTGTTCTGATTATTATGTTGAAATCGTGAACACAGACACCGATGGTTCTCTCTTTCCTCATCATCATCATCATCATATCTGTTTTTTCATGTGTCAAAAGAGAACGAAAGGAGACTAATAAATTATGACTGGGGATACATACGCTGCTCATGGGGGCAACCTGATATCCATACAGCTGCATACTCTAACGCACAGAGAGAGACATGAGGGAGAGACAGAAGAGGACAGAGCATGCAGTCAGAAGAGAGGAGGAGAAAAGGTAAAATACATGTTAGTACATGCAAGGAAGGAGGATGTGTCATTTACTACACATCTGAGATTACAATTTTTGAATTCATACCTTGCATTACAACAGCAAGCACTGCATGACCAAGAGCAGTTTGTGAGGCAAAAGTTAATGTTTTTGTTTGGATTGTTTAACACTATCAAAAGTGTTTTTTGTGAGTTAAATGATTCACCAGGATTGAACTGTACATGTAACGATGTTTAAATTCTAAATGCAGGATTCAGTGCTTTTCATTAATGCAATGAAATGCGTAAAGCTTCAGAAATAAGCATTAAATTTACTCTTCATATAAAGAAATAGATGTTGTGTTTAACATAACGCCAAACTGTACAGATATATACTATGGTAAATATGGTACATACAAATATTACCATTATGAGAAATAAGCGTCAATAATTTTAATGTCTAACAGTATTTGAGAAATAAACATTCTTGTAAAGATGAGTTTTAAAAGACGAGGTAAACACATTGTCAGGTACAACATATTACGTAACATTACTTAAATTATCTGCAATAGGCTACAGCTAAATTAATAGGAATGAAGCTGCAGCTCAATTAATTATTTCAGTATCAACTGTTGTCCATCCTACAGGAAGAGCAGATGCTTCCTTTAAAAAAACGTTTATAAAATGTTTTTTTTTTAACATATTTGTTAAAAATGTCACTAACCTCATAGTATGATACGACACAGATAATTTGTGAAAAAATCGAGCTCCTCTGTCTTCTCCCTGTGGTCATAACGTCAGCTGCAGAAATGCAAAGCTCCCAGTCAAAAACAACCAATCAGAGCTAAGAAGTGGGTCTTAGTGCTGTCAATCAGTTTGTGTACACGCTGAAAACACCCTCCCCCTTTCTGCCATGGATACACCCATGACGGCGGGTAAACAGTTTTCCTGTGACATTAGGTGATTTCTCCCCCATTAGCACATTGAGGAGCCCGTACATGGGAATGATTGACAGCGTTAAGACCCTCCTCCTGGCTCTGGTTGGCTGTTTCTGATGGGGAGCGGTGCATTTCTGCAGGTGGCAGTAGGACCACTGGGAGGAGGTAGAGGAGTTCCATTCATTTACAGATTATCTGTCTCTTTTATACTGTCAGGACATAGTGACAGCTTTATCAAATATGAAAAAAAAACATGTTGATATAAAAGTTACTAATTGTAGCTTTAATGTACTCCAGTAGCAATTGTATCAGCTGATGTGCTTAAACAGAATTATTTTATTACTAAGAGGAACTTGTTATTTCAAAGGTAATTGTAATTATAAGTGTAGTTTAAATGGTTTTTCAGTACAAGCTTAGGTCCCATTTAGTTTTCCAGTGACAAAAGCATCGCAGTTTGTCACTGAAAGCAGTTTATTTTTCAATGCTAATTTTGTGACACTCAAAGAGCATCAAGTGAATGCAAACATGAGAACTGAAGGTGGCTGTGCTTCTTTTGTGATATGAAGTAGCTTAGGTATTAAATAGCTTGAATGTCAGCAGGATTTAACGTGGATATGCTTATGATGCAGGCCGTGTTGTAATGCAAGGCTGCTTGTTATTCCTGAGCTTCCACCATAGCAGAGGTGAGGACAACAAAGCTTGAAAATATATCAGATATAACAAGTAGACATCAGGGATAATCGTCACGGTAACAACACGGTTGCCACATGGTCAGCTTTCACGAGGCAGCATGCAGTCCACACTAGTCACAGGAAAGACTTCATTTGTTTTCATGTCTGATTTTCTACAGATGATCGTTATCTTGAATGGTGTCAAATTCTGTTCATTAACTTTGACTGATTTAACTTTCAACAGTGTTGAAAAGTGACAGAAGCTGCTTGAAGCAACATTTATAAAATCAGTTTAAATCTTTGTCGATCTTTGCACCTCTAATTTGTCCTGTAAGTTATAGGAGCATCATTATAGTCAATGCTTGTAAAAAAAAATAGCTGTAAATGTCACTCCACAAACATGACTAATAATGTCGCCTTCCTACAGCACTCTTACCAACTGAGCTGACTTTTCCGCATCTCCTCTCCTCCCCTTCTTCTCGTTCTTCTTCCGGAAGATTTCTTGGAGCTGGAATGAGGGAAAACATTTCAGATCCAAGCAAAAACGTTTACAGTTACTATGGTGATAACAATTTTATCATGATAAATAATACTATAAATGCCCACTTCTATTATTATTATAATTATAATAATTATTATTATTATTATTATATTATATTATAATGTTATAATATAATATTATTATTATTATAATATTATATTATAATATTATTAACATGGGCAGTCTTGTATTATGCAATGTTGTGCTTCATCAAATAAACCCTAACTGACAAAGTTTGGACACCCTAAAAACTATTTACTATGATAGAATAGAATGCTGAATTGTCGCATCATCCTGCCCTATTAAAAAAAAAAGACTTAAAAGATTTTCTTTCTGCAACTATTAACGTTTAAATAGCACAGAAATCCTCATCCATTTCTACAACATCCAATGTGGGAAATATACCCTGAGTAGCACCTGGCTGCTCCCACAGGATTTTAAACCATTACCACCCCCTGCTGCTGTAGTACCACCCCACTCCCACCCACCTCCACACTCACTTCAATCCCTTCCCGCCTGCAGCGTTTTCAGTTAAAAACCTCGCATCCTGCTGTGTATATAACACGCGTGAAGACCTTCAGAAAAGCTACAATCACTCTGCTAAGCTGTTTAATAAGGTGCTCTCATAATCAGGTCTTTTCAGGTGCTTTAAACATTACAAAAATGTGGATTAAAACATATAAAAAAATCACATCTCCAAACTATTCATTATTTACAAGAAATTAGTAAACATGCAAAAACATTAGTGTAATTCACATTCATCACATTTGATCATGTACACAATATTTTTCTTCATATTGTCATAATTTCATTCACATTTTGCTGCCACTCGGGATAAATTCTCACAATAAAGAAATAGGATTGTAAATTTTAAATGTTCAACTGTACAATATAAAAAAAACACGGTGAAACAAACTGTTGAACGTTTGACTTTTTTTCACATTTTATTCAAAAGTAATCTTATAACATTGGCTGTCAGTACATTTAATAACCAAGATAACACAGATATGTATTCTTTGATGGTTCTGTGCTAGAAACTCACCACCAAGAACTCCCTCTTGTCCACCATCTGGTTGCCGTCTGCATCAAACATATTGAAAGCAATCTTAAAGCCAGCATGTGGTTCTGGAGAACAGATAGGAAAACACACACGGTGTGAGTGCATGCATGCGTTTACTGAAGGTAATTTTAAAGCCAGAAATAGCGAGGGAAGACATAGCAGACATGCTGCACAGAAGGAAATAATGGTTTCATTTCAGTAAATGAAGTTTCTCAGAGATGTACCCTGTTCTTTTAGGAAAACTCTGGATGCTTGTTTAATCTTGCAACTAATGGTGCATGTTTTCATCTGCTTAAAGGGATATAGGGACTAAACTGGAGGGCTATTCACAGCTTTTATCAAGTCGGGGCTGCATTTGATGTGCTCTAATTCAAGATCTAAAATGTGTGGAGGGGACAAAACCTGAGCAGGAAAATTTCATGCTACAATACAGTTTTATAAGACTGAATCCTTTATTCTACATGGAAAAAATATATAATATTTTGAAGCATTTTCTGGCATTAGAACCATTATATATTCATATTATATTCAATATATAAAAATTAAGAAATGTAGTTACATTGACTTGTCAATACTGGATGGAAAAACAAACAAATTTTTTAGAAACCGTTCGTGATTTGTAAAATCTTTATTTATTATTATTGATGTGTTTCCTTTTTTGTAAAGCACTTTGTGATTTTTATGACTGTGTTTATTTAAAAAAAAATATGGTCAGACGGTATTTTGAAAATGAAATTATAAAATATTTGCTGCAACTACAAGCCTCATCCTGATAAAAGGCTTCAACAAAAAAAAATGGAGAAACTACAAGTTTTGCATGTATATCATTTCCCTTTCAAATAGCAAAAGTCAATCTTGCTGCAAGATCGTAACTGTGGGTAAAAACCAAGTGCCATATCTGATAAAAAAAAAGGAAGAATATAGTGAAAGAAGAAGGCAGAAGGCCTGAGCAGACTCACTTGTCAGGATGCAGAGCAGAAACAGATACTCCGTGTACGAGATGATTCCTAGTGATGAGATCAAGACAGGAAAGTTAGGAAGGTCACATTTAAGGCATTTTCTGCACTATGTTTACAGAAGTTTAAAGCTCCTGGATCTCAGGGCCTCACACACAGCCGCACACACTGACGCACCCTTAATCCTCCCGGCTGTGGAGATAGAATCTCAAAATGTGTCTTCTGCCAACCGAGCCACCAGCAGCCATTTGGCCCCACACAGCGTTCACAAACGTATCCAGCAGCAGACACGCTTGTTTCTCTGTGAATGTGTGTGTTTGGATAAGTAGGTGGAACATAGCTTAAGGAGTTAGATTTTCTCTTCCTCTCACTTTTTTGTGTCTGATCGCTCAGATAGATCGGAGTGACTCGCTCTCCCGCCGGCGTGCGTGACGAGTGCGTGTGACGGCGAGCATGACACCGGTTGGGAGTCGGAGTGTGAGCCTTGTGTTTAGCTGAATCCAGACTGCTTTGTGTGGAGCAGCTGGTTTGGAACCAGACTCGCTTAAACCGGCGCAGAGCCGGACCTGGAAAGACCAGAATGCTGCTCGGGTTTCTGCAGACAGCCTGAATGTTTACACTGCGACACACTCACGAATAAAGAGTTCAGCAAATCTTAATGAAATCATGATGAAAGGCATAGGACTAAAAATAAAACTTACATGCACCTAAATAATCGCTCACCTAGTTTGGTTTAAAGTTTACATTAATCGTATTTCTGGCTCTCGACAAGAAAGAACACTGTTCTTTGAAAAAATGCCACAGGAATGTCGGAAATAGTGCCACATACTAACAATTTTTCTTTGTACTGATAGTGAATTGGAAATTTTAATATCATGACAACCTTAGCAGCAACAACAGAAACATAAACTCTCCTTTTACAGGAAAAAAAAAAAACCTCCAACAGAATCTGGCTCAGTGTGAGCTGCCATCTGCCACAACTCGCTGAACACAGGCCATACTGTACATCGCTACAACTAGTGTAGACAGTGCAGCTCCTGCAAATACCAAACTCTTCCTTTCGCTCAGTAAATCTTAATAATTGTTCAAAAGACAAATAAACCTGGAATCCAAAGACAGAATCAAGTGTAAGTTCAAGCACCTCATTGATTGTAAAAAAGCTAATTGTTTATACCTACATATGATGAAACTTCTTTAAATTCTCCAAATTTTCCAGTGAAATTATGGTTAACGGAGAAAGTTTCAAGCTTTTTTTGCGAGCTCTAGAAAAAACAAATTCTGTAAGTGCTCTGTAGCATCTTAGAATAACCTCAAAAGACAAGGCAGAAAACTGCAAAACTGTGAACTACAGCCATAGATACTAACAGTTCTCCAACTATTTACATTTAGCCATATGCATCCTTTATGTTAAAGTAGATTGTAAAAGTAAACCAGCCCAATTTCACATTAGCCCCAACAAATTTCCCCTTTTGCAAAATGTCCTTTTGTTAAAGGTTGAGGTTAGAAGAAATGGGACCTCAGACTGCTCACAAGAGGAATTTGCATTAACTCAGACTTGTATGTAAATGTGAAGCCTGATGTAGTATAAATACAGAAAAGCACTGAAATAATGAGCTGTGGAGCTGAGTCCAGCCAACACTGTGCAGTATTACTTGTCTGAATTAGTCAGATACATAGGAATCCTAATGTATTTCCAGAATTCGGTGATAGCAGTCTTTGTGTTCTGCGGGATGTAGCATTAAGTGTCTTCTGCCATTTACAAACACAGATAAATACTCATATGTAGCTTACACAACAGAAAGTTCTGAAATAAAGCTGAATTACATCAAGGTAAATTACCAAAATAAATGTTTGAAAGTAATTAAAGTAAATTATGTATTATTATTAATGATTGTATTTTCAGCTTTTCACATTCCTCAACTTCGCTACATCCCCATATCATTGTGATGATTTTTTTTTAACTTCTTACCCTCATTTCATTGTTTTCTACACTTTCAAGTGAAACTAGTCCTCCTACATGTGTCCCTTTAGACCAAACCAAACCCTGGTATAAGATACAACCTGAGCATAATTTTAGTATCATTAGAGAGGAAGTGAATCACACATGGCATGTTATTTTTAGCATCTCCCTGAATGTGTGTGTTTCAGTGTAATTATCACTATGGGGAGTCGGTCCCTGACTGTGCTTTCTCTGTTATCTGCTCCTCTAGCAAATGCTTAATTAGGGCAAGCTTATTTCTCATCTTTCACCAGAGGAGAGGAAAGAAAAGGGGGTTGATTTTTTATTTTTTTTCCTTTTTCTCGGCAGGCTGTTTTGCTGAGAGGAACAGCATGATGACAACCTGGATTAGTGACACCTACAGTGCAACAAAAACTCACAAGCGTCATTTAATCAGAGATTGAAAACGAAGCCCTGTGCCGTGTTAAAAAGCAGCAAAAAAAACAAAAAAAACTGAAGGTTTCTCTGATTATTTTAAAGATCTTGTCCTAAAGTCATTTGATTGTTTTTTTTGTTCAGGCAGCGTGGATTTCAACAAATAATTAATGAAAATATGCAACCTCGCGTGTTATGTAAGATATTCCACTAGTCGTATTAAAAAATTGTCTTTTTTTTTCTTTTAGGAACAAACGAACTAAAGAGGCATCAAGAAAATAAATGTCTGGTGAAGGAAAGTGGTGACTTTTCATCTTGATCAGTGAGCAGCCAATTGTAAATACAAACAATTCAGTCATTAAACACACTACATTACGCACTACAAATTACATTAAGATTGAGAAATAGAAAAACACCTAGCCTTATTTATATATTTTTACAAAACAGAGAAGAGATTTGTAAATCGTAGCGCCTGATTTACAAAGTGAAAAACATTAATGGTATGGTCAGCTGGGTGGGAATTTGTGCACTTTGTACATCAAAAAAATAGATGAGATGAAGATTTGAGCTATAAATTCAGAGAAGTGATGAACTGTTTGTATCCACGTGTGTGTGTCGGCTGACCTCTTTCTCTCAGGTTGCGGAACAGTTTGGAGGATCCTCTCCATACGGGAGGAGTATCTGACAAGATTTTCTCCAGTTCCTGACATAAACACACAAAAAGAATGATCAAAATCGCTAGACACTGTAAAGACACAGGGTGCCATGCTCTAACTTGAACTTCATGAAGAAATAATGCAAAGAGTTGGAAAGTTAAATGTCCCATGCAATGGAAAACATATCAGGTAATTTAAAATGATGACTTCAGTGCATTCTAGAGAGAATCAGAAGTTAATCCAAGAAATGTGCGGAGCTGTAAGGAGATAAGGATTTTTACTTGTATCTTGAAATGTTGTGAAAGATTGAAAAGAGCCATGACAACAAAGCAAGAAAGATAAAAGATAGAACCAGAAAACAGGAAAGAACATAAAATAATTTGCGGAAATTACAAAGGACCTGCACATCCTTGCAGCTTGTTTGTTCAATACATGTACAGGCGCTGCAAGTCAAGCTTGTTTAGCTGAAAAAACTATGCAGTGCGAAGAGAACAACAGCAGATGTAACATGCAAAAGATGTTTGCCTGTGAGGAGAAGCAGGAAAAAGGAGAGATATAAAGTGTGTTTCCCACCTGTTTGGTCAGGGACCTCCATGGCCTCTTGTCTGCCAGAGAACAAGACAAAGGAGGAGAAAGACGAGAAGAGTTTGGGTGGGCTTGGTCAGATAGCATCTGTATGATCTAGAAAGGGGTCCTAATGTGCAGGGTACAGTCACAACACACACATCTACAAACACACACACACACACACACACACAGTGTGTATACACTCATCATAGCAGATCCCATTTGGACTGTCTGAAGTAGTCCTCACCTGCCTTTGTAGTATGTGGAATGTCCCTGTAAAAGCACATACTACTTTTGTTCTGTTTTATACAACAAAGTTCATCTAATTCAACTTCAAAGGGGGCAGAGGATGGCGGCTGCTGACAGGTTACGAGCGGCCGTATCGCATGACAGCCGAGATGTAAACACACACATACAGGTGCACGGTTCTGCACGCTATTCAATCATGACTGCTGCAAAAAAAAGAAAAAAAAAAGAAATTGTTTCTGATTGCATCAGCGTGCAATCACATTTCCAAACCTGGAACACTCAAGCTTAGCCCACCAATTTAGATATTTACAAGTTAAGAGAGGGAGAGTACATGAGAGCGAATGGAATGTGTGTCTGCGTGCGTCTGACTAACATTAACCTCAGACTAAACAAAAGCTGTAAAGCCATCTGCTTTGAGGCCGGCTGCTCAGACCTAATCTGTTACAACTAGCAGCAGGCTGACAGAATCGGCAAAGATGTGCTCATAAACCGAGGGTTTTTGACGGCCTTAGAACGTGGCAAAATAAACATGTTAAATAAATCCCAGACACTGATGGAAACAAAACAAAGATCAGTAATGTGAGGCCTATAAAATCCTCTGACGAGTCAGTGAATTTGAGCTCATTTAAAACTAAACTACAAGTCCAAATAAAGGTAGCTAACATGATATGAAGCACAGCTTCCATGACTTATGAAAAAGAAGCATGTGATCAAGTCTTGATTGATTGTGGTTTTCCTCAAATTCAAACAGGCTCTGGTACATAGTACATATTTATACCCCACTACTGGACGAAGGTAGGGCTGGGTAATAAATCGATTTCAACCAATTCATTGTATTTTTGGTTTTTTAAGGTTTTGCGAACACTCAAAGTAAGTCCGGTGAACCTTTGGGTGTAAAGAGTTGACGTTAATCGAATAAATTAAGTGGATTTAACTTATTTTTTTAACACAATTATGACTGTCACTTGATTTAAAAATTAGATTAAAGTCCTTGAAAATGTAATCTAGTTAATTTGAAGTAATGGGAAAGGATATTATGTGACAGTGGTGATAAATCAACGAGGCATCCCAAGACGCGGAGGCACCAACAGCTCATCAATACTTACCTCAGAAATATTGTTTTTTGATCTTAAACCAAAACATCTGCCACACAAAACATAAGTTGGTAAGATCTTATGCATGTGCACAGCGGTCATATTTTTTTGAAAGCAAAAATATGAAACATGAACAACTGATACACACTTCTTGGTTCGCTCATGGTAACGGACTCGATGAAGTTCTGTGGAGTCATGTACAGCTGTCCTTCGTACTCTACAGAGCTGAACATCCGGAAACGATGCTCGTGGGACGACATGTAGACATCTCCATCCTCAAAGTCAAATGGACGTGCCTGCAAAACGTAAAACCAACATTTTTACGTAGATTGTACAGATTTACATCAGCAGTTTGATCAATATGCAAGTTATTTGAATGTGAGTATCATCCGATCTCAGATCAACAGATTTATCAGATCAACATATTTATCTGCGCACCCCTAATATGAAAAGCATAAAATAGTCTACACTACACAGTATGCATGACCAAAGTCAAAATCCTCAGTCTCAGTTTGGTTGAAGTGAACTCTGGCACAGTTTGAATGCATAAGTGAATGCCAAGTGGGCTGGTGATCGCTCCAGAAACAGGAAGTGAACTATAGCACAAGGCATTATGGGTAAATACAACGAACGCAAATGTACTAGCACGAGAAATATTTTGTTTTCTTTTGCCAAAGATAAAGGAGAAATTCTATAAACGCTAAAATCTAATGCCTCTCAGTTATTGTTCAGATTACATGATGAAGAAGGTTGCCCTCAGTGTCTTCTTCAGAGATTTTTGTGTTGTTTCTTTTAGTGGCTCTTGGTGCAGCGCCACCACAGGCGAGGGTGGAAATAGGTTTTTCAAGGGTTGGGTTTATTTGACACAGTGCAGTGTGAAAGTGAACCACACCAGCTGAAAATGTAACAAACGTTGCAACTTTGATTCCCAGTCAAGTGTACCAGACTATCAGGTGTGCAAACATCCTCAGACAAAAATGTTCAAAGCTTTTTCTACAGATCATAGCATTTTCAGCAGTCCAGGAGAAGCTCAGGTGAATATTAATAGGTCGGCTTTACAAACTAAAAACTCCTGTTCAGTTTCGTCAACCCGCCTCCTAAGTCTCATGGACTTCAGCATCCAAGCCTCTTCCTTAATGGTGTACTTTAATAATGAGCATATCCATCTATTCTTGGCACCAAGTCTCGATTCAGCTCTCTGAGATTATAAATAGCATCAGCTCTTCTGCTACAACTAAACAAGAGAATACAGGCACACACAAACACACACAAGCCGGTACTACTTTCTACTTGATTGGTCTCTCCGTCTCTCCCTTTCAGTACAGACCTGTGACTTCAGCTGGATTAGCTGCAGAGATCCACCAAGAGACTGTAGCTGTGCAATTAGCAGAGAGGTTTCCATATTTAAGCTTGTTTGAGTTTGTGCTCGGCTCAGCAATCATCCTAATGAGCATGCTAGTTCATTCATAAAGCTTTGATGCTTCCTTTACCAAACGAGCTCTAGAAGGCGCGAGTAAGAGATGAATAGTTGATTGTAGGGAAGTAACTGTGATGGAGATTAGGAGACTCTGCACCCGTGGGTTTGACTTTCACTAATGAATGGAGTTTTTAAAGTTTTCCAAAGGCAACAAGGCTTTACATCCCATGCCGCTCAACATGACATAGAAGCATGCAGGCTTCACTGAGAAGAGAGAATTATTCATTGGTAAGGAGCATCGACTGGACTTCACATGGTACACTTTGTTCTTGTCTAGTTATGTATCCACCACTAAAACTGCAGCTGATGTGTTGCCTGCTTCTCGTGACTGCACAGCAGATGCTCCAGGTGTTTTCCCCTTTGGCATCTGGGTGTCTCCCCTTCACAGCTGCAGCGTTTTATTTTCTCCCTCTGCCGTTCTCAGTATCGCTTATAAACCAGCCCGTGTTCTAAATAAGTATTTTCTATAAACTACCCCGTTTAAATCCAGTTGTGTCAGTGCGATTACAAAACAGAGTCACCTCAAATTCATTTCTACACTACAATGTAAAAGTATTGATGTTTTCTACACTACAGCAGTTAACTTCATCTTAATGTATTGTGGTTTTATGTGAAAGACCAACAACAAAGTCCATAGTGGATAGTCATACGTGTGGTGTGTTGTTTATATAGTCAGTACTTTCACTGAAATTACAGCTGCAAGTTCAAATAGCAGTTTAACCTTAATTTTAGCTTTAGCTGCATGCTTAGTGTTAGTCTTGTGTTCATAAAAATAAATTACAACTGACAGAAAATATTTTAAAGACACTTTCTTTAATTTCAGTTATTCCTTCTGGGAGTTGACCTAAAGTCAAAGTCCACAACATGATGGGCAAAAAATGGTTGGCCCTTAGCAGGCCAACATCATTCTGAACTACAGAAGCCCAATGACTGAACTGGAGGCGGGGGGGGGGGTTCAGATTTTCTAAAAATAACATTTTTATAAACAGCAAATTCAGTTAATCAATAAAATCGACTTGTTTTCCAGCTCCAGAACCCTCACAACTGACAGGGAAACTGCTTTTGAAAGATCGGTTGCCCAGACTACCGTCAACAGGTCTGCAGCTGATTATTGGTTAGACACTGCATCCCTCAAAAACAGCATTTCAGTTGCTATTGACATTTTGTGAATTATGACATTTCCAGGATACCACTGAATACTTATTTTTTGTTGCTCTTTACAACATAGTCATAGCTTACTATTGCAGTTTGATAGAGTAAAGCATTAGAATCGCCCATATTCTAATGAAAAAATCATGATGAAATCTAACAAAAAGATTCTGACAATCTTTTCATTGTCAGAATTACCTGACATTGAAAAGATTTATTTAACTCAATTAAATAGTTATTTTTGTTGTTTTTTGTTGTGTTTTGTGAAAATTAACTGATTTGATATGCTGTGCATCAGCTGCAATCCATAGCTTAAGTAGCAGGTTGATTTTACTCCTGAATATATGAAGGAGTTGTTCATAAAAGTTGAGTCTTAGATCACAAGTCTAAGTCAAGTTTTAGTGTGAGTAGTGCAGGGATGCAACTTTGCATTTCCTGAGGTGAATATGGACACATTATAGCAGATCGCATCACCACTGTTAAATGCAAAAAATGCTGACTAAAAATAATTTTTACGTCATAGATTTGGCGCCCCCACTGGTGCAGCGCCCCTATTCGTGGCATATAGTTTGTGCAACTGATTAAATCTGACAAGCATCTAAAAGTCAAGTCATCTTCTCTATGAAATATAATCTTATGTTTGATGACCAGGAAAGAGTCAAAAGTGCCAGAAATACTGCTATGCTACTGTAAAGCATGGCAGGTTATAAATTTATTAAAAATACATTTATTTATAACTTTTCACAGGTCTTAACGTAAAAAGGAGGTTAAATTTTAATCCACACAATCGACTCCCGACAGTCTTGAGCTTCAAACCTACAGTCTCAGCAGCAGGACCGTGATATTTGTACATTTTTTTCCTCTTTCAGATAAAATTGTCTTGACAAACATCATGTTTTTATTTCATTTTTAATTTTTTTTTAAAGTGTGGTGTTTCCATTTTGAACATTATTGTGTTTACTAAGATGTGTCGGGTTGTTTTTATCCGTCAAAGTGTCACGAGCGCAGCTGCGCAGTGTGACGACGGTTGGAGCGCGTGTTGTCATTTCAGCACCAGAGCGAGAGGGAGAGCGCCACTCCTTCCTCTGCAGCCAAACAGTGAGCGAACTGTTTCCACCGTGCGTGTTGGAAATAAATGACACACTTTACCCACCCAAAAAAGAAAGAAAAAAAAAGCTGAGGGAGAGAGGAAAAAACATGGTAACTGCTAGGAAAACCAAAGCGGGAGCTGCGCGCGGAAGGAAGCATGCCTAGAATACACAACACTTGACTTGTTTTCTTAATGGGGTCTCTCTCTTTTTTCGCCCTTAGAGGGGCCCTTGTGTCAACAGAGATTCATTTTTACGTCGCTACGTGTCACAACAGCTAACCGGCTCGCTAGCTGCCTTGTTTTTGTAGCCACGTACCTTCTCTTTAGCTTCAATGGTGGGGATGGACGGCAGCGGCAGACCATTGATGCTGCGTCTCATCATCCTCTTCCTGTCGCTCCACATTTTGTTATAAAAGTACAGAGTCAGGACACCTCCCGCTGCGGCACACAGCCCGGCTGTCAGACACCTCCGAGTCCGTCGTCCGTTCAGGCTGGGAGCCCCAAGAAGCTCGCTTTTAGTCGCAGACCAAGGGTTCAGTTTGCCGGCCAGCGCTGCCGCTCTGCGGAAAGCGGCCATTGTTGCCGTCAGTGCTGCTGCTGTGACTGTAAGTTTAAGGGCAGCTCGAGACTGTCGCGAGTCGACCGGTCTCATCGCGAGATGATGGTGAGGCCGAGAGCGAAGAACTCCTAGCAGGGATTTGATGCTTGACTGAGTGAGAGTGAGTGATTAATCTAATTCACTGTAAATTATTAACGCATATGCGAGGTAGATTGACTGTTGTTGGTTTGTCTTGGACTTTACAGAAAAGCACAAAACTGTCTTAAAACTGAAATCAGTGAAAAGTACAATGAAATACAATTGGAACAAGTTTATGTAAACCGAATAACAACAGAGACACACCTTTTTTCACATTGTGTGAAATTAAATCATCAGACCAAACGTCTGTTATTTTATTCCAGTTAGAAAATCTATGTCTTTTATTTGCTAAATATCACAACAACGAGAGAATAAAGACATCAGAAATATATGAATGTCTTCAAAATTAGAAGTTTGCATACAGAATAATGATGATGTCAGGGACTCGGAAACTCCTGATAGGTTAACTGACACAATTTACAATTCAAAAGCAATGCTACCAAATACTGAGGAACTTTTTGTGAACTTCTAACATATTCTCCGATATGTTCTTTGTCTCATTATTGTGGCATTTTACAAATAGAAATGGTAAATCTAACTGACCTAATACAGGAAAAGTTTGGTTTGACTTCAGACAGTGAGGGGGAAAAAAAGACATATCCTTCTTTTTATTTGGTGTATGTAAACTTCTGGTTTAAACTGTGTGAAAAATGAAAACACATAAAATAAAATGAAATAAAAGACCAATTTGTAACACATCAGTAAAATGACCAAACTATACAGTTCTATAGGAAATACATAAAATAGCTAATCTCTTTGTGAAAATGAAAACATTCAAACATTCTTTAAAATGTTTTTATCTAAGCTTTTTAAATTTAAAACAGTTGGTTTAACACTTTGCCCTTCCTTGCCTCATTGCTCCCGTGTTTTAAAATAAATACATATTTTTGTCTTTTCTTTAACATAACACAGTTCAATACATAAATTATTTCTGCTATTTTTAATTCGTGTTCGATTTAAGGCTGACATTCACCTTCAATCTTCCCATCTCCGCCACACGAGGCTTCTTTCATCACGTCTCCAACCCTTAAAACGGTTGCGTACGAACACTTTCTGGAACTAGCATAAAAGGCGTCTCACTTACATACTGGGAAAATTAGGAATGACCGATCACATTGACTTGTGTCAGTCATCGCCTCTCATTGAGGGTCAGCCCGGTGTCAGGTTTTCAAGGGTAAGTGGAGAATCAAAGCAGCCTGTGGGAAACAGATATCAAACAGATATCAAAGATGGAGTCTTCATTTTAAGTCTCCACATGCAGGACTGATGTTAACCTGATGGGGCTTTTCTTAAGGCTTTGATGCTGTGAGAATAAAGAGTGGAAGTCTAATGGAGGGGCCTGTCACCTGTTCACACATGAAGCTCAGTGGATCACTCTGGTGCTTAGCTAAAAACAGATCAAACAACAAATATCAAGATGTCTTGGTTGAAATAAAAATGACGGTTGATTGTGGGATTAAGTCCTTTTAATCTGTTACATGATTCTTTTCTACTCATAGCCCACTGTATAGTCTTGATCAACAGTTCTGTTGGTTTTGTGAAGGTCTTTCAAAAACTGTCACTCTGGTTTTGTGTTGTTGTTCAAAATCCAGCAAAAACATCGTACAACACCTGAGCAATGCATCTGATATGTCGTTTGGTGATGACCAAATTCTGCATTTTGTGCCAAGTAGTCTGTTTAAAATTGCTTTTACAAATTTGTTTGCTCATGGATTATTTACAGATCAGAAATATGATGTCTAATAAACAAAAAAATTAAATGGTCAGGTAACGTTTGTGAAAACTTCTAGAAAAAGAATGATTCTGTGTCTTACAAAAGTATTTTACCCTTTGAACTTTGCCACATTTTGCAATATTAATCACAAACTCCCATTTTACTGAGATATGTCATAGGGGTTCTGCACAGTGGCACAGCTGGATGGATAATGTGATACATAAACAGAAAGTAGTTCATAAACACAAAGCGGAAGAAAAATGCTAAAATGTTCCTAGAAAAAAAAATTATAAATAAAAATCTGAATAATAGTGTGGCGTGCATTTATTTTCAGCCCCTTGCGTCAATAATTTCTGTAATCTGTAATGAAGCCCCGTCACTGTACGTAAAGTGACTTTGGATGTTGATTTTCAAGTCTGCAACTCCTCTGGAGTTACCATGGATATGTCGGATGGTGTGCTGACGAATGCTTTTCCTGCCAGCTCAGGCGGACGGTTGGTTTGGCGAGTACCATTTTAAAATGATGGATCAAAAAACAAACTGGCAGATATCTGATTTCGAGAGACTGCTTTACGACCTACTTTAAACTCCACAAATTGAACGTGGGCCGTCCAGGTGTGTTCACTGGTCTTAACGTGCTGTTTGTTCACTAATGTTCTTTCACGAAGATCTGAAGCCTTCGGAGAACAGCTGGATTTATACTGGGATTAAATCACGCGCAGGTGGAACGTGTTTCTGATGGATGGATGGCACACTTTTCAGAGTTTCATTTTCACTAAAAGCATTATATTTCAGCTCACCTAATGTTGATTCAACAGCTATTGCAAAAAAGAAAAACAACAAAATGCTTTATGTTTTTGGTTGCAACAAGGCAAAATATGTAAAAAATATACAAACCAGAAAGCTATGAAATAAAGGTTTTACTGCTTTTTTGATGTTGTTGTTTTTTTTTATACATAAAACAACAGAAATACAGAGTGCATCTAATTTGACCTTTTAATTTGTGCCTCTATGAACCCCAGGAGTTCCCCAGACAGCAGTTTGGAGATCACTTGCATTAATAACCTCCAGGCTACTTCCTTCAGTTATTCCATTACCCAGCTTTTCCATTAAAGGCAGCGATCTCTTTGTGTGTTTATATGTATTGGGAGGGAGCAGGGGAGTCGGGGGGTATGACTTTAACCCACCTCTTCATCCTCCTCCTGCTCCTCCTCATCCTCAAACTGCAGTTGCTTCATGCTTCATTTCTCTCCATGGCCACAACAATAGTGAGAAAAAAACAACAACAACAACATGGACGTTATAATTTAAAACAAATCATGTGACCCTGGGAACTGCTCTGCTGTGAGTGAACGTGGGGATGTGAAGTTGACGTCTTCATTGAGGCCAGGTCGATATCCAATACGTCTGATCAGCCTCGGGCGATTCCGATTGATCCAGCCTCCTTTAAAAAAAAAAAAAAAGAAATCTTTTGTGTTGGTCATAAATACTAATGAACTAAGGGAAAGAGGGAGAGGATCGTGCATCAAACACAAACACATAAAAGTGTGCGCTCTCGTAGGGCTGTATTAAACATATATGAACTACTATATCTTTTGGTCAAGCTGCATAACCTGAGGTGTGGGTATATGAAGTGACTGCTCTGTACACACCTCCGCGTCTGAACCTCATTTATCAATTTGACGCAGGGGGAAAAGGCGGGGCGCCAGCAGAGGCTGTGGGAGTACATGCGCGCAAGTCTGTTTTTGCTGCCAAAATCAATTCCACACATAGGATTCTGTAATCAGCATGGACAAAAAGTTGAATAAGTTCATGTTAAACTGTAAATATAACACAACAAACAAGGATTTCATACGTGTGTGTGTGTGTGTGTGTGTGTCACATCGATTACAGCCCCACAAACACAGATACTGTTCTTGGAAAATATTCCCATTTATAACATGCTTCTTTAGGACACTTAGTCACATAAAGAAGTGTGATTTATGTGACTAAGATGCACGCAGTAACTGCATTTGATCATGTTGTCTAATTTATTGATATGTCTTTATTAAACATTAATGTGTTTAAAACATCATTAATTGGTGTTATCATGACAACAATAAATCAAAATCTTATAAGAAATTTATCACGATAAATGATGGACGATACAAGAAACTCCCACCCTCGATATACACACAGAAAAAAAAGAGAACGTGTTTCAACTTAAAAATATGACAATAAATCAAATTAAATGTATCCAAGTTAATTTATGAAGTGTATGGAGTTTGATAAACTTCATTTAATTACTTATGTCAAAGTTACACATTTTTTTAGTGGGAGCTGCATTCTTTTTTTTTACAAAACAAGCTATGTCATCTAGCCAAAATATATATATGTGTGTGTATACATGAAAACTTAAGGATTAACAGAATGAATATATATATATATATTCATTCTGTTAATCCTTAAGTTTTCATGACCCTGGAACATGTTAACATGTCACATTGCTAATACACACTTCAGTGTATTTTATGGGAATTGTTGTATGTGACACACCAACACAAAGCAATGCATTAATGTGAATAAAAGGAAAATAATACTCAAATATAACTGAGGTTGTCACAACCCTTCTGCTGTGTTTTCCTTCATTTTCACAGTTGCATGCTACTCGGTGTTGTTCCATCACATAAAATTTAAATGAACTACTTGGCTATAATGTAACAATATGCAAAAAGGCTTAAGGAGTATGAATGCTTTTGCAATACTATGTACTATACTACATTTGTCTAAATGTATGGACACGTAGAATTTGTCTATAGAGATATAGAAAACAATATAGTGGCCATATTTGTCTTTACATCTATCAGACAAATATAAAGTTTTATTGCACATATTTACATTGGATGACATTAGATTTGTTAGATTAATGCACTTGCATCAAAAAACATTCTTGAAAATTAAGAAATGTTGTAGCTCCTCTATTTGTGCACAACACATGTACCGTCTGTTACAAGCATCGTATTTTTTCATAAGCATGTTTAAATCAATCTGGTAGGCCCATAAAACACGCATCTGGTAATTGATTCCACAATTAGATGAATCTAAAGCCCGTATAATCTACCTGCTTAGTGTTCAATGACAGAGTCCAGTATTCATAAGCCAATAAAAATCCGTATATTTACTAAAGAATCAGCATCACTCCCTTTTTTTTCTTTTTTTTTTTTTTTACCCTCAAGTCCTTCAAGTGTCAAGTGTCTGGGTA